CGGATATCAGGGATGTAGATGAAGAAGGGCACCCCCTCCATGGATGAATGCATGCACTGACCAGCCCCCTGCAACTGCAACGATAGTAAATTGTAACCATGCCTAGTTCATTTTGCGGAAGCGTGCCGCCTTGCCGCACTCGTCAACTCTCCTCACCCGCCCGCCGCCCAGACCCGAGGACAGGACAGAACAGAAACAGGCCAGCTGCCCTTCCTTTCCTGGCCCCAAAAAAAATACTATCATGCCTCCACGATCAATTCCCCACTGTCCTACAGCCCCAGCCTGGCTTCCACGGCTATGGCGTTGAGACTTGTCCAACTGTACCACCTTCACCACCCTCACCACCCTCACCACCACCACCACCACCAGCCACAACACCCCCCCACCCCCCACGGAAACCACTCTCTGGGCCCTCGCTCTCGGGGGTCAATTTGCAAACCTTCGTGTCCCCCGGTCTCATCACTAGGCCGATAGGATAGGTAGTACCGCATAGTAGCTCTCCGATCACATAACGTCAGCACATGACGCAGCGACGACGACGACAACGACAGCGACACAGACAATCACTATGCTCATGGCCGACTTCAACGAAACAAGATCCCCATTGACGTCCAAGAACGTGCAGGCGTGGGCGCGCACTCACTTCAACACCCCCTTCAAGGCATTGCCCAAGGTAGCCACCCTGAAATGGATCCAAGTCGAGGACAGCTTCACCATCAGTCGCGCGGTTTGGCGCTCGCTGGGCCGCTCAGCGCACAAGCAGTTGCTCGTCATAGGCGGCTATGCGCCTGGGCCCGAGGTCGACGAGCCTGTGGATCTTGTCACCGCCCATGTCCACGCCGATGAGCCGGATGTGAGCTTCTATCGCATCACCAAGAATGCCAATGGCGACAATGAATTGTTCCCCGTCAATTCCACCAGCACCGTCGCCTTTCATGCCCCCTTTTGTGATCTTGGTGACGACACGGGCGGCTCAAAAGCCATCCATCGCGTCTCGGCTCTGATCCTCTACTACTTCCTCGCCGCCGGTCACGTGAAAGAGCTGGTTCGGACAAGGGCAGACCCCACCATGTTCACCAGAAGTTTTCGCGATGCTTGCTCCTGGGTAGAAAATGACGGCGAGCGGCCCAATCTACTACCCTCGCGACGGTCGTCTGGCGCCACCAACAACTCTCCAGACACAATGACGGTCCGACCGAAGCGAGCCTCCACCATCTGTACGTCCAACCGTGGAAATCAGCCTCTTTGGAAACTCCCAGCCCTCCACTAACGCCAGACTTAGCCTCCATTGCCCGTCTCAACAGCGCCGAAGCCGCCTGCGCACCGCCCATCAAACGCTCCGCCACCGATAGCATCAGCGTCAAGATCAAGCGTGAACGCGACGAAGACAGCCCCGCGCCCCCCAAGAAACACCCCCGCCGCACCCTCAGCGAGCAAATCATCCTGCCCAAACTCCAACAAGAAACCGTCCTCAGCCCGCGCAGCCCCGCCCCCGAACGTGTCAACCGCGCCCTCACCGACCGCATCCAACACCTCAAGGACGAAAACGCCACCCTCAAGGACAACCTGCACGACATGGAGGCCCAGAAACTCGGTCTCCAGCGCCGCCTCAACAAGGACGCGCGCCACCTGCACGCCCTCCAGACCGACAGCGACGCCGTCAAGCAGCAACTCGGCGCGGTGGCGGCGCGGCTCACCGCCGTGGAAGAAACATCGCATGGGCTGCGCATGGATGTTGTGGCGCTGCGGGAACGGCTGGAGAAGGCGGAGAAGGAGGCCGAGGCCGCCAAGACGGAACTCATGAGTGTGCGTGCAGGTTTGACGAAGGATCTTGGAGACGCGGTGGA